GGGATCTCAGGCCATGTCCCCCACCTGGTGGCACTTGACAGAGGGCCTCAAGGCATGCCCCCTGCCCCAGTCTGGGCTGGGGGACCTCAGGCCACCCTCCTCCAGTCCAGGCACCAGGCAAGGGGACCTGAGGCTATGCCCCCTGCCCGGCAGGGCTTGACAAGGGTGGAACTGGCTGGGTCTGGATCTAGCCCAATGTGGGGGGGCCGGCCGGGTCTGGGTCTCACGAGATTTTGAGGTGCATGTGGGTGGGCGGGGACTTGACTTTGGGTCCCCTGGTGAACCCTAGACTCTGACAGGAGGAAAATTTTCATATACATTTCACTAATTTTCTTTCATCTCTGACACTTCTATTATAGAGAAAGGGCAAACAGCAATATTAAATTATTTCCTCTAATCCTCTTTTAATGTGCATGAATTTCGTGCACTGGGTCACTAGTTTATCTAGAAACACCTACTTAACCATCAGGCCTTGGCCTAAGCGTCAGCTAGTATTTGGAGCTTCCTCTGATTTACCCAGGTAATTTAGGTATACTTTCCCGTAGTTATCCGGGTTTTGACCTGTTCTGGAACATACATATAGGACCTTCATAACCTCTCATATACTAAGAACACTGCTAAAGACAACACAGATGTACACTATGACAACAGGTGAAAAGAAAAACTTGGGTAGGTTGGCAGGCTCACAAGTGATTTTTTAAAAACTACTAATTCTTTACCTCTCTCAGTACTTAACACAAGGTGCCTCCTTCACAGAAGGTGTTCGGTAAATATTTGTGGAATAGTTTCTGTATTTAAAAAAAAAAAGACACCATGTTCACTATGGACTCTGGTTGATAAAGATGTGTCAATGTAGGTTCAGCAATTTGTAGCAAATGCATCTCTCTGGTGGGGGCTGCTGGTAACAGGGGGAGGTTATACATGTTTGGGATCAGGAGGTACATGAAAAACCTTTGTGCCTTCCACTCAATTGTGCTGTGAACTTTGAACTGCTCTAAAAAAAACCAAAACAAAACCAGCCTATGGGGGAAAAAAAAAAGATAACTAGAAATCAAATTTAGCTTATTATGATATTAAAAGCATATGTTTACATATTAGATCCAAGTATTTTATTCAAAATAATATATATCACATAGATTTATAATAAATTTTGAAAATGAAATCTCAAATTTCTAACCCAAATAAGACTTGTTTCCAGTGCATGGAAATTCTGACTGAAGTAATCCCAGGTGCAGTGCTTTGGTTGCCATCAATACACTAGCCAGTGGTCAGCAAACTCATTAGTCAACAGAGCCAAATATCAACAGTACGACGATCGATTGAAATTTCTTTTGAGAGACAAATTTTTAAACTTAAACTTCTTCTAATGCCCCTTCTTCAAAACAGACTCACCCAGGCAGTGGTATTTTGTGGAAGGGCCACACTCAAGGGGCCAAAGAGCCGCATGTGGCTCGAGAGCCGCAGTTTGCCGACCACGGCACTAGCCCTACCTCCACACTTTACTAATTAAGCACTTACCTATGCAAAGCTCTGTGGTCACAATGGTGAACAAGACAGTTTCTGCCCTAGCAATATATATTTTTTCCAAGTAAGAACTTTATCTGCAAGATAAATCTTTAAATCCAACTAACAGCAATAGATATCCCAAAATGGCAAAAACAAGCTTCTCTCATTATCCCTATTTTCAAATAGTTTTTTAAAAAAAAAAAAATCCTATTAACCATTTGAGAAAGTAGTGCATGACCTGGTTTGAAACAAAAAGTTAATGCCTCATTTACTTGGCATCCTAGGGAGAGCTGGTGTTCCACATAAACGAATTTTCCAGATAACTGACACTTGCCCATTTAATATCAACACTTAAATTGTTTAGCAGGGAGAGCATTGTAAAAAAAACGAACAACAAACAGCACAAATGTCTAAACTTTAAAAAAATGGGCTCTATTTATATTGTTCTGACCAATAACTGTGCTGTACAACAGGCAAGCCCCTAAACTCTGTGTCCCCAGGGTGCCTTGGTAAAGGTGAGGCTAGGAGAGTTTTTCTTCAGACCCTGCCTTTTGGTATTTCAGCTGTCAACTCTGTCCTATCAGTGTGAACCTGACTCAGCCTCCCAGCCCCCTTTCCAATGTGCTGCTACTTAGAAAACAAGTTTGTCAAAACGTTGCCTAAAACCCAGTCTTTGAGAAGTTCGACAAATCAATTCTGGTTGCTCACAGTCTGCTAAAATCTATAGTTACAAGTTCCAAACCAAGTTTTGGATAAATAAGTCACTCCTATATCTTGATTACAGTCCTTATGTTGTTTTTGTATTTAAAATTGATGTCAGAAACAACTTCATTACCTAGTCACTCATTCAATAAATATTTAAGTATCACTATGAGGTAGGCTCCAATATTATGGTGAAGAACTGAAAAGATTATTAGTTTTGAAGATATTTTAAGATAGAAAAACCCTACTACAAAAAAAACACCTCCTACTTAATGCCCAAACACACACACACACACACACACAAAAAAAGCAGATTTTTAAAAGTCTTTTAAGTGAAACTACACGCCACCTATCTGTGGGTTCTTTAGACTTAGAAACTGAAGATTCCAGGGTAAAGAAAGCTATTCATTTAACTGAACATTTATTTTATAGAGCTCTTTATAAGATTCCAACATTTTCTTTTTTTCTATTACAAATTCCATCTAGCTAAAGACATCACTATCAATATATGCTTTTAGTAATAAGTGATACTCTCAGTTTTGGTATTGATAAGCATACCCATTTCAGCATCATAAGTTTACCATCATTATTTTAATGTTTTGCAACATTGATTAGGAAAGTGTTAATTCAGGAAAATTTCTGTCCAAATTTTCCAAAGTTCTAATATACTTCACTTTGGAATATAGAAAATTTTCTTCAGGTTATAAGAGTGGGTAAAATATGGTGTGACTCTACATAATCTGCTCCATGTGCCACAATATTTTTTACATTCCATTACCCATTAAAACCTAAGGCTAGGAAATGAATCAAGGAGGAGTGCAACTTAACATTGGTCTCTAGGGATTAATTAAGACATCAGGTAAAACCCCTGGCATCAGCCTGCCTTGTTTCAATTCCCATGAAATCTCCCTTTTCATTCACATTCTCCTCAGGGAGCATAAGTTAATTACTCATATTTTAGATTTTATAATTGATTGGTTATTGCCTTTACTATTTATATTCAACCGGAAGTGGGTATTTGTCATGTGCCTGCTGATCTGAGAAAGTAAAATATTTAGAATTGAAAAAAGTTACTAGCATTAAGTATCTTTACTGCCATTGAAAACCTTTTTCAGCAGTGCACTAACATCTCTTCAACATTCATTTTGCAACCCAAAAATGCTTTCAACAGTACTATAAAGGGAAATCTAGACCCAACTTTCAAAATAACAATGCGGTGCTATCTAAAATGTCACTTAATATCATCGTAGTTTTTACAAGTTGGCTCTGACCTCATGAGATATCACCTTGTCCTATGAAATAAAAACAATTCAGAGAAAAACCCAAATACAGGCAGGCTCTCGCTCTAAAAGCAATTGAGGCAAAGACACGAATGACAAATATTTACTGAGCACACCTGTTTTAAGCAATATCTCTACCAGGTGCTCCAGTTTAAACACACACACACACACACACACATCCAGCTCGAATTATATACAATTTAATTAGAGGGAGAAAAGATATTAAAACATTATTAATATGAACCAATAGAAAAACAAACATTTTTATTAAAAAGTAATCACGAACATGTAAACGTTCTGGCAAACAGAAATGCAGGGCACTAAATTCACATTTAAACCAAATAAAATGATTCTGGCCTCCCTCTGTGAAATCTGGCCATCAAAATGAAACATTAGCAAGAACTAAGAGGTGGGCCAACAGCATCACAAAACAAAAAACACTCAAAAACCCACAAAATCCTCAGGAGCAACTGGTTTTGGACCATTCAAAAGCAAAGTTTTCCTGTGAGTGCTCACCAGCAAGTTTCTCTCCTAAAATCTCATTAAATGAAAAACAACACTGATTCCTGGCTATCAAGTTTGCGATCACCGAAGCTTCATGGAAAGGCTCCAGCTTCTCCGATGCCGCCCAGGGTGCATCTACAGAACCGCGGGAGCCTGGGGAGCAGCACCAGGGGCCGGGCTATTGTTCCGAGACCTGCAGGTTCCCCTGAACGCCGCGGGGCGCGAACCCGGCACAGGTGTGTGTGCCTGTGCGTGCAGGGGGCACAGGTGTGTGTGTGCCTGCGCGTGCAGGGGGCACAGGTGTGTGTGCCTGCGCGTGTGCAGGGGGCACAGGTGTGTGTGTGCCTGCGCGTGTGCAGGGGGCACAGGTGTGTGTGTGCCTGCGCGTCTGCAGGGGGCACAGGTGTGTGTGTGCTTGCGTGTGCAGGAGGCACAGGTGTGTGAGTGTGTGCTTGCGTGTGCAGGGGGCACAGGTGTGTGTGTGCGCGTGTGTGCAGGGGGCACAGGTGTGTGAGTGTGTGCTTGCGTGTGCAGGGGGCACAGATGTGTCTGCCTTCGCGTGTGTAGGGGGCACAGGTGTGTGTGCGCGCGTGTGCAGGGGCACAGGTGTGCAGGGCCACCACTAAAGAAGGCAGGCCCAACTTCCAGCTGGAGACCTCGAGAAGGGAGGGACAGACACAAGTCCTTTCTTGGAACCTTTGAACCGGGGGGTGAACGCGGGGACTGGGGAGGGTCTAAGCCAGGGCTCCCCGAGCCCCCCTGCCTGGAGGCCGGGCACTGAGGGGGGACGGTCCGAGGATAAAGGAATGGGCTCTCCCGTCGAAGGGCCAGCCTAGAAAGAGAACCCCAAACCATGAGCCACGCTGGGACTGGGGGGACGGCGGGTGCTGGGGGTGTCGCGGAGGTGAAGCTGGGTGGGAAGAGAGGAACAAAGAGAGAAGCCCCCAAGCCTAAGCCTTCCCCCCCCCCCACACACACACACACGCACACGCAGCCCCGGCAGCTTACCTGGGAGAGCTGCCGCGGATTGGGGCAGCCGAAGAGCGCGGAGCTGGAGCTGAAGCTGATGGCCCCTCGGCGGCTGAGGACGTGCTGGGGCACCGGCCTGTCCAGGGGCAGCACCGGCAGCTGGTAACATACTTCCATTGAACACGCCCGCCCTCCCCGGCCGCCGGCCCCCGCGCTCGGAAGGGGCCGCGGCTGCGGGGCGCCGGGCCGAGGCGGGGTAGGACGGGCGGCCGCGGACCCCGGGCCGGGAAGCCGCGCTCTCACGCCTCCGCCGCCCGAACGCGGCGCCCGGGCCGCCGGCGGGAAAGCGCCTCGGCGGCCGGGGCGACAGTTACCGGGACCCGCGCGCGCCCGGCGGCTCCGGGGTGCAGGCGGGGGCCGCCCGGGCAAAGTCGGAGCGGGAACCCCGCAGCCCCGGCGGTCTGACGCCCGGAGGAGCGGAGCCAGGAGCGGAGCCGGGGCAGAGCGAGCGAGGCGATGCGAGGAAGCAAGGCTGGAGCCGGCGTCGGGACCCGGGCGCGCTGGGCTCGGGAGCAGCACCAGCTCCTCCGGCCCCGCCGTCCGGCCCCGCCCCGCCCCTCCCCCGGAGCCCGGCTTCACTCCTCCCGCGGCGCGAGCCGGCGTAATTCACACTTTGCAGCCGCGGCCCCTGCGCCAACCGCGGCCGCCGCCGCCTCCGTGACGTCACGACGCCGCGCCGCAGGCCCGCGCCGCCGCCGCCGCCGCCGCCGCCGCCGCAGCGCCGGGAGCCGGGCCGGCGGCCGCGGGCGCGAGCCGCCTCCCTCCCGCTCCGCACCCCGCGCGCCGCCTTCCTCCGCCGCCAGCCTCCCGCCGCAGCCCCCTCGGCCTCCCCCCGAGCTGCTCCCCACCCCGGGCGCGTGCGCACGCCGCCCCGCCCGGCGGGGACATCCCCTATCGCTGAACCCCGGCGGGCGAGGGCGAAGGTGCGGGGCGGGTTCGGCCTGCGCGCGAGGCGCAGTGCCGGCCGCGCGACCCCAGAAACCCCGAGCCCGGGGCTCGGCCCTGGCCGCGGGGTCACTGCCGCGCTCCCCTCCTCGAATTCCCGTTCTCGGGCTTCGCTGGGTCCGCTGCGGCAGTGACGTCAGCGGCCCGCGCGGGCACCGAGCTCCCGCCTACGTCACTGCCAGTCCCTGGGGCCGGGGGTGTGTGGATGGAGGGGTTGGGGGGCAGGCCGGGGCTCCCGCGCTGCCCTGGCAGGTGCGGATCCCGGGCCAAGCGGAGAACTTGGGGAGCCGATGTTGCGGGGATGAGGAAGGGGCAAAGGGGTGGAGAGAAAACTCCGAGACTGAGAAAAAGAGTGCACAGAAAAGAAAAAAAAAATGAGAAAGGATGACAGTGAGAAGACAAAGGAAGAAAGGAGAGGGCTTGTCCTTTTACCAATGGTATTGTGCGATGGCGCTGATTTGTAGAAAGCATGAGAATGTAAAGAACTCTTGACCTGGTTTATAAGCTGGATATGTAAGTTGCAGGTTCGTTTCTTCGCGTTTCTCCTTGAACTGTCAAAGCTTCTCAGCTGCAGCCCATTGTTCCAAATGCGTACCAGCCTCTAGGACGTCAGCAGGAACCAGCTCTCTCCTGCGGGCAAAATTGTTAATTTGGCTCTGCAGCTCAGGGCACCCACCCTCCCACTTATTTGCTGTGACCAGCCCCTGGCCAGGTGGAAAGTACTGCATAGCCATTACCAGGAGAGCGGTACTAAAGGCTCATGGTCCCATAAATCAACAAATGTCTGCAGGACGTTTTATTATTGTGGCATCTGTCTCTCTTTAAACGTTACCTCCTCCGTGGGTATTTTTCTACTTTATCTGCTCTCTACTGTTAAAAGAAATATAACTTCCACTGTAGTTTCATAGATTTGAAACTAAATGCTAAATGCTAACATTTAATGCAACAACTGACCCAACTCACCTTTGATACCCTAATAATATTCTCACAATACATAGATGTATTGAACATCTACAGATTAAGCTCAACATTTTCTCCTATTATAACAAAAAGGAGGAGGCGTGGGAGGAGGAGGAGAAAAACAACCTAAGGTAATTAGTATTTAAATTGAAACTAGTCTCAGGGAAACATAACTTACCCTAGAGTTTACACAGATAAATGGCAGAACTGACCTCAAATACAGCTAACCACCCAGAAGCTGGTATCGGTGTGATACCAGACAGTATATGCCAAATAACTACATCACATTTAATATCGAAGAGACTCCCTTCAATTAAATCATTTAATAAGACTCAGAGCACTAACTAAACACATCTCCCTTTAGCAGAGTGGGAAGCTAACATTTGCTATGCACCTACTGTGAGGTATTCTACATACAAAGTTGAAGTTAACCCTACATAGCCACATAAGTAAACATTTGATCTCAATTCCACAGATGAGGAATCAGGTTCCAAGATCATAAATCATTTATGCCACTGAACTCTGTTCTGTGTGATCTCAGAGCCATGCATTTCCACTGCACCAGGGGTATCTTAAGGCCAAAACTTCAATTGTGTTCAGCATTCTACTGCATAGGGAAGTATACTAGCATTCAACAGAAAACCAGAGCCAATAGGATAGATCTCTATCCATCTAGTCCCCCAAAAATGTATACACACACTTTGAATAACTATAAAGGCAGTGTTTATTAAAATACATTTCAATTTCAAAATTGAGCTAGCAGCTGTTAAAGTGTGTATACATTAGAGCAGTGCACTAAGTTAAGTATACAATTTTATCTGTATGTTCCCAAAAATTCTAGTTTAGCACTTCTTAGTTTGTATTCAGGAATCTGTATTTTAATAACTCCACCAGGTGATTCTCATCATGAGAGAAGTTTGGGAAACACTGCATTAGAGAGAGAGAGAGAGAGAGAGAGAGAGAGAGAGAGATTGAGATTTGCTACACATGTGCCTCGTCCAGGACATGAGCTGGAGGAGCTGCAGGCCCTGTTGCTGCTTCTTGCCAACGAGGTGAATCAGCAGATCATGTGCAAAATCGCAGTGGTGCCTGGGACCCTGCATGGACCTTCCAAGTTACATGGCTGGTGCTTCATTTCCACTTAAATATAAAAATTTCTATCGTGACCAACCAAAACCAAAATCATAAAGATAATTATGGGAAATGTAGTTCCTGCTTAGCTACATTGACAGTACGAAATTATCTCAGTCTAACTCTTGTCAACTTGACATACATACACACACTTTAAAAAAAAAAAATCTTCACCGAGTATATTTTTCTATTGATTTTTAGAGAGTGGAAGGGAGGGAGAGAGACAGAGAGAAACATCAGTGTAAGAGAAACACACTGATCCGTTGCCTCCAGGTCAAGACTGCAACTGAGGTTCATGCCCTTGATCAGAATAGAACCCAGATCCTTTATTCTGTGGGCTGACGCCCTATTCACTAAGCCAAACTGGATAGGGCACCCCTGAACTTCTTTAGATTAGAAACTGGTAGAAATTATTGAATAAATCAGTTAATATCTATTTGAACATTGTATTCACAGCCCAAAACCTTAACTCCAAAGTTGAGGGGTAAATATAAAATTACTATTGAAAAACCCAAGATTTAACTTTTTAGGTAAACTACTTATATATAATTAAATTTTTACAAGATGCAGCAAAATAACACACACACACACATATAGATAGATAGATAGATAGATAGATAGATAGATAGACACTATATTAGCAGTAGCAAATCAACTTTTTAAATGCAACTAAAATGATTATTTTTATAGTATTTAGGAACCTCAATATTGTCCATTAATTAGTAAAAGTTTACAATTCTTAGAGTGGAAGAAGTCAGCACTCAAAATTCAGTTAAATTTAATGTGAAATTTGTTCATTTGGGAATAAGTGAATATAATTAGTAATATGGGTCACTGACTTTAGAAATGATTAAGTATATCCAAGATTGAAGCTTTTCAAAAATTTCAAGGACAAACAATTCAGTTCAAAAATGGGTAAAACAGCCTTAGTCAGTTTTGCTTAGTGGATAGAGTATTGGCTTGTGACTAAAGGGGCATGGGTTCGATTCCAGTCAAGGGCACATACCTCAGTTGCAGGCTCCTCCCTGGCCTGGGCCCTGGTCTGGGCTTGTGAAGGAGGTAACCAATCAATGTGTTTCCTCACATGGTTGTTTCTCTCTGTCTTTTTCTCTCTCTTCCACCCTTTAAAAAAATCAATGGAAAAATATCAAGTGAGGATAAAAAAAAAAAAAAAAAGGTAAAAGAGCTAGGCTGGCATGGCTGAGGCCACAGTTTGATTCCCAGTCAAGGCTCATGCCCAAGTTGTGGGCTTGATCCCCAGTGTGGGGTGTGCAGGAGGCAGCTAATCAATGATTCTCTCATCATTGATGTCTTTCTCTCTCTCCCTCTCCCTCTCTGAAATAAAAATATGTTTTTTAAAATGGGTAAAACACTTGAATAGACATTTCTCCAGAGAAGATATACAGGTGGCCAATAAGCACCTAAAAAGATGACTAAAAGTCACTAGGGCAATGCAAGTCAAAACTGTAATATATCACTTCATACCCATTAGGATGGTTATATCAAAGAAATGGAAAATAACAAGTGTTGGTAAGGATGTGGAAACATTGGAATCCTTGTACACTGTTGATGGGAATGAAAAATGGTGCAGTGATGTGGAAAAAACACTTCTATATTTTCTCAAAAAAATATACATAGAATTACTAAATGACCCAGCAATTTAACTCCATGGTGTATTCCCAAAATAACAAAGCAAGGATCAATATTCATAGCAGCATTATTCCAGCCAAAAGGTGGAAACAACCTAAAATGTCCACCGATGGATGAATGAATACAAAAATGAGTATATGACATACAACAGAACTTATTCAGCTTCAAAAAAGGAATGAAGTTCTGAAACTACTACAAAGTAGATAAACTTGATGACATTGTGGGAAATGAAATAAGCCAGACACAAAAGAACAAAAACTGTATGATTCCACTTATCTGAGTTGCCTAGAATAGTCAAATTCATAGAGTCAGAAAGTGCAATAAGATACCACTTCCTACCCATACCCAACATAGAGGTTATCAGAGGCTAAGGGGAAGGGAGGAATGGGGAGTTATTATTTAATGGGTATGGGTATAAATTTTCTATTTGA